ACTAATAAAAATATTATTAAAATTATTTTAAGTCATCGATGAAAATTTGTTCGTTCGATACGAATTGTTTATTACAATACATACTTCCCTATCAATTAATTAATAATAAATATAATTCTTTGAAACTTCGTCTATTTCTACGGAAAAGAGGTACATGTCACTAAGATTTTTTTTGCTTTGCTTTCTGCCCAAAGAATAAGAGGCGTGCAGCAAAATGCCCCTAATAAATTATTTATTGCAGTAAGCCCGTTACAATTCTTTTAATTTTTTTAGCAACTAGACAAAAACGACAATTTTATTTCTCGCCCCCTTTCGGATTGCTAATTGTAATTATCTTTGAAGACAAAAAAATAAACAAATTAAAAATTAAACAAAAAAAGCCGAAGAATGCGTGATATGGAATATGTTACTAATATATTAATTTTAAGGAGGAATCAGAATAGTCATTATGAGAAACATTTATAGTGTAAATTCACTTTGAACACTAATACAATTTTTAAATAAAATTCATTAAAGTAATTACGACAATAAAATTAATTACTGACACATTTACTTAAATTTTGATATTGTGACAAATAAATATTGCATATTTTGACGATCTCAATAATAATGCACCTGATAGTTTTTTCTATTGATTCTGTAATTTGCTATTTGCTATCAACTGCTTTTACACAGTTCCAGTTCCTCCTTAATTAATATTAAGTAATTAATAAATGATTTGTGACACATATAACAACCTCTCAGTTCTAAGGTCCCAGGCTGTACACAGCATTTAACGATTTTCTTATTTACTACTCCTGATATATACAATCGTATTAATTCATCTTGTCTACGATTTTCGGTTTAAATTAGAAATAAATAAATCGCCTAATAACTAAAATACTTATTGAAACAAAATCACTAACGAAGTCTTTGGTTAAAAAAGGCAGAGAATCGTGTAAAAATGACCACATTTAAGAATAATACATCGAAACACAAAAATATTCTTGGTTATTAACACAATACCTAATATATTTTACTTATTTTTTTGTTAGAACTTGCCCACCTATGTACCTATCTATCCTTTCGTATTGAAAAGTTTCCTTCTTCACAAAATAAATACATTAAGTGTTCCATCATCAAAAAATTAAAATGAAATAATACCTAACTTGTACGCGTAAGGAAATGTTTAAGTGTAAAATACTTAATTCAAAATAAAATTGATTTAGAATGATAGTGCTTTATGTTTATTTAATAAAACTATGTATTGATAATACTAATCATTGAAAAAGGAACTTTAAAATTAATTGATTTCCTTTTTGGGTGGTGAGCATAAACTTGTGAGGGTCTATTCATTTGTCCTAAAATCTTGAGTGTCGGCTCATATTTTTATTCGCATAAATAAGAACGTCTGCACTACTGAGTGTCTACCTTCAAAATAGGCGTCTCGTTAGTTACAGACATAAAATCGCAAAAGGTGGTAGGCTGATGAATAGATATACAAATTCATCCATCGTGAATATAAACACCCACCTTTAGCAGAGTTAAGTCTGCTACTACAAAGACTCTTATTTTTGAAAGAAGGCACTCAAAGGCTCAACATTATGCATACCACCAATCGCGTTTGAATTAAAAAAAATCCAAATAAATAAATTTTCATTTTACATTTTTAATTCTTTTCCTGGCACAAACACAACACCAATTTGAAACATAGCTAATTAAAGCCTTATCGTAAGGCCTTTTACGTAAATTCCCTTTTAATTAATGTCAATTCCTGCAAGAATAATTAATGGATTACGGTAATAGGGGAAAGAAAGTTACATTACATAAATTATTTCTTTCCTTTCAAATTCCTTGTTATTCTTTTGTATAGAGGTAAATAGCTTTTTAAAGTGCAAAAAAGGGAGATTAAAAATAATATTTTCAACAACCAGAACACCTCATAGGCCATGATGACTAGAGTAGTAAAAGCGCATCATTAGGACACACGTATGAATCACAGTAGCCTGTTAGTTAGTAGGTTCCCTTAATAGTACTATTTATTAACGTTAATTTTAGTATCCTCTTTAAGTAGTATGATGTGCCTGCTTTTACGTTTATATAAATAATCATAAGCAGAGACCAGACTAGATTATAAAAAACAACTCGTTCCATACCAATAATTATAAATAATATAAAAAATGACTAGCAGCACAACTCATTTCGAATAATTATTTATATTAAAATAAGTCATAGAGATTTCTTGTTTTTTTTATACTATAAGAAAAATTTTAATTTTCTTTCTTTTATTATTTATAAAAAAGAAGTGATTAAGCTAACGACAAATAAATGAACACGAAATATTGTATGGAACGATGTTACGCTGTTTTTTTATTCTTTTAACGCCCAATTTTCGTTTGCTGAATTATTAAATATATTATATAGAAATGAAGGACGATAATAACTGAAATCAAACTATTTAACGTTTTTGTTGCTTAACATTTGTCCAAATCTAAGCAAATGAATAATAATGATTAAAACATTAAAATGAATGAAATATAAAACCAGAATTTGGGCTGTAGTATAACTAAACAGCGCAATAAATATTTTTAAACGTGAATAAATCTTTCTCTATTCACATCCTACATTTTTTTATCTTGTTCAATAGAGTTTACGTCACGCAGTTCGGTCCAAATCGAACCTTATGTTTAAAACACCCTACGAACAAGCGAAAACGTTTAACTAAGATAAGTGGTAATTATATTTGTTGTTTTTTTTTGTTGTGTGGTTATATATTATGTATGTGTATATAATATTTATAAGCAGCACCATTATTTCTGTGTTCTTATCTTTAATCGGCCACAAATCGAGCCGGATTAAAATCGCGGTTCACGAAAGAGAAACCCTTAAACTCATCCTGGTTTATGGAACGGACCACCTCGACGTTTACCGGCGTCAACACTGGCTCCTCTTTGGTGAACTCGGCGTCGAAGTTCAACGCGTCCTTTTTATTTTTCTGGAAAAGTCCAAAAAATGAGGACCGTTCCATACTTTACTTTACCTGCGGAATTGAAAAGAATTAAATTTACTTACAATTTTGGGTTTGAAGGGGGCTCTAATTTTTCTCTGCTCGAGCGCCTGCCAATCCATGTCTTTAAAGAAAGGATGTACACGTATGGCGGCCTCGCCATTTTGCGCTGCGACGCATCCGAGTCTCTTGGCTGGATTTTTCGTCATAAATCCCTTCAGAATCGACACGGCGTCCTTGCTTAACCAAACGGGATAGAGGACGTCGTCGTGTAGAATTGACTCGAACAGGTCGTCTTCGTTGTCTGCCTCGAAGGGCGGTTGTCCGGCCATCATTTCATACATGAGGACGCCAAGTGCCCACCAGTCAACGCTGGCACCATAATCGAGCTCCTGAAGGATTTCGGGCGCAATGTAGTCAGGCGTGCCACAGAACGTACTGGTCGTGACCCCGTCCAATACACCCTCCTTGCACATACCGAAATCTGCCAGCTTGCAATGACCCTCCGCATCCAAAAGAATGTTGTCCAACTTTAAATCACGATAAACGACGCCGTTTCTAGAAGAAAATGTGGAAATTAAAATATAATGCATTACAAAATAGCAAATCATCTCAGGGAACAATAATAACAAATTAACTTACTTGTGAAGAAATTGGAGGGCAAGTGTTACTTCGGCTGCATAGAACCGAGCCCGCGGTTCATCGAATTTTCGCGCCCTCTGTATTTGAAACATAAGATCTCCACCGTTAACGTATTCCATAACGAAAAAGAGACGTTCCCGCGTCTGGAAACAGGAATGCAGGGCGGTGAGGAAAGGATGCTTGGCAGCCAGTGCCAGTATCCTTTTCTCCGTCATTGTACAGTCTACGTCGTCGTCCTGTATAATGACGTCCTTCTTTAGAACTTTGACGGCGTACACCTCGTCAGATCCCTTGCGTTCAGCCAGCATAACTTTACCAAAACTACCCTTACCCAATACCTTAATGAAGTGAAAATCATCCAGGCCGATTTTTATACTGTCCTCTTCCTCTCCTTCAAAGAAAATTAATAATTTTTTTGTATTCCATCAAAGCAACAAAAACTTCATTGGATAGCCTTACCTGACTCAGCCGAAGTGTTGTTTTGCATTTTCTCTTCGCTTAATTTACCCAATTTTTCATCGGATGTTTCCGAATCATCTTCTCCAGTTGCAGCATCGCTTGAACCGTCTGAAGGGGCTCCATTACCTCCTGGACCCGCTATATACTTACTCCTTCTAGGAGTTTGCTTATCAGGAGTGACACCTACAAAATACCCCATTTGTACACTAAATATATTTTCAGAGAGAAAGTTTACTTTATAAATAATTTATTTATGATACGTGAGAGCAGGGTTTCACAGACGGCGCCATTGATACAGTAAATATTTTGTTTCGGGACTTTTTGGGTAGTAATTTACAAAAGCCCGAAACAAAATATTTACCGTGCCAATTTATTTATAATTTACCTAAGGCAGTGAGAATTTCGGCCATCTGCTTGGTGTTAATGCCGCAGTTGTTTGCCACATTCTTTTGGCAACGTTTGTGTACGTTAAGATTGCACACTTCGCACTGGAGCCCTTGTTTGATCAGGCCATAAAGCAATGAGCCACAGTGGTCACAGAACGTGAATCTTTTGTAATTGTGAACGACGAAACGGTGAGGAATATTGACGTTGAATCGAGCACTTTGAGAACTAGACTGTTCGTTAAAAAAAAGAAAGAATGAGAAATGTATATGTTGAATATTATTTTAAATATGTAAAACTTACCTCGTCCTTCATTCCTGGGCACTTGGTAACTACAAGTAAGTGGCAGCGCTTGTGAACCACACAGGTGCACACTGTTATGAAAAAATTAAGATAATTTCCCAGGAGAACACAAATTAAAAAACGAAAATGAATTTCAAAAGGAAAAGGTGTATTTTGAACTAAATTTCATTATCAATAATGATTCCTTTAAGGAATTTCTGAGAAATAAAAATTCATTTTCGTTTTCTACAAACAAACATATTCTTATATATTATATCAATCACACACGTAACATTTAAATACATCAAAGATATGTCGGGAGTAAAAATAAAATTCGAAAAAAAAAAATTACAAAATCGTAGTACAAAGAAGCGCTATAAAAGCTTAAAAGAAACCATTGCCTTGTGTAGAGAAGAAATAATTTGATAATTGTTTTAAGTTAATTTGATAAAAACGAATACATATATCGGTTAAAAAAAAAAAATGTAGTTCTTGCTCCCATTAAAATTACATACGGATATGTACGAAACCTTTACTGCAAAGTTCCATTCCCAAAATTTACTTTAGTTAGTTCCGTGCTAGACAAATTTTTGTTAAAATCCCTCATATAAATCAACATTAATTTACTACTAAGATTAAATGATAACAATTTAGAGGTCAAACACCTTTGGATCCCCACATTTGGAAAAAACTAGTTCTTTTGTAGTACAGTATATCTCAATATACTTGGAAAAACTTTTTCAATCGAATGGCTATAAATAATAAAATATTAATAAAGAGAAACTTACAAACTAGTTAAAAAGCAAGAGAGAGCCATGCCACAGGTGCTGCAAATCAAAATAAATATGTATAAATTAATGCATCTAGAAAATGAAGCACAATTAGTGCTGACATGCAATGTATAATATACATATATGTATACGATGTATACTTATTGTTTAAGAAAAAACTTCGAAACTTGACGGTATTGTCAATATGGTTAGTAATAAGTTTAACTGCACCCCCTAATCATCGCCCCCCTGCAACCAAACCGAATCACCACTGTATCAAAANACTAATAAAAATATTATTAAAATTATTTTAAGTCATCGATGAAAATTTGTTCGTTCGATACGAATTGTTTATTACAATACATACTTCCCTATCAATTAATTAATAATAAATATAATTCTTTGAAACTTCGTCTATTTCTACGGAAAAGAGGTACATGTCACTAAGATTTTTTTTGCTTTGCTTTCTGCCCAAAGAATAAGAGGCGTGCAGCAAAATGCCCCTAATAAATTATTTATTGCAGTAAGCCCGTTACAATTCTTTTAATTTTTTTAGCAACTAGACAAAAACGACAATTTTATTTCTCGCCCCCTTTCGGATTGCTAATTGTAATTATCTTTGAAGACAAAAAAATAAACAAATAATAACTCTTAAAAATTATTATGTGCATAACTCGTTCCTCTGAAGAAAACAAAATTAAAAAAAGGCTGAAAACAAAAAAAATAATAAATGGATAACTCATTAAAGAAGACCAAACGTTCTTTCTTTTACTTTTAAGACCAAAAGTAAAAGTTGGCAATATAATAAATATTAAAAAAAAAGAATGGTGCTGCTCAGAAGAGATACAACAAAATTAACGAAGAAAAGCAAGCTTGTGATTAGCAAGTGGTAATTACCTTGACACTGATAGCCCTGCTTTCCTAATCCCCTGAAAACAAGAACCGCCATTACAATAAGGATGTCTACCCCATAACAGCCACATGAACACAACACACTTTCGCACACCACACAACTCTGCATCCCACATCGCCCTTATTATGTTGTGTGCTGGTTTGTTATTTAGTTTTGTGTCTTTTTTATATTATTTATTATTACAGAAACAAAGAAGCAATTTTACTTACCAAATAAACTCCCTACAGTGCGAACAAAACGTCGGCTGTCGTAGAAAAGTGGCCATAAACTTGTGTCCATTTACCTGGTGGACCCTTCTTCGCATTGCACCCCGGCGCCGATTGAATCCTTGTCTTTCTTTGAATTCCCTAGGTTTAGCCCCATGTTCAGCTACATATGAAAAAATGGACATGCATTTATAAAATAATATATTCTTCAATAAGTTTTCTAAACCTACCACTTGAAGATGTTCTCAAGTCAATACGAACATGTATTTGGCCTTTGGGCTCCAAATTGACCTACATAAAAGAAATTCATTGTGTAGAACACTTCTTAATAACAATACAAAACAGATTTGGTACATAAATAAAACAATATCCAAAATAGCTATGTGATACCTTTTAAAGGAAGAATTCATAATATGATTTATTAACTATCTATTTACTTAATACTAATACTAATAATAATAGAAAGCTAATAAAATGTTAGCAGATGTCATAGTTAAGAGGAAATAGCGACTTCAGGTCACTTACCCAAAAGTCTCCTGCGTCTTTATCTCTATTAAGAAGATCTTCGAAAGGTATACTGCAGTTTGCAACGAAATCATCGGGAGGAATGGCTGCATCGTGAAATACAGTGAGTGTAAGGGTTTTTGCATTCTCTACCTTTTGCTCAAAGTACTCGTTCCAAACGGGGTCAAATGTTTTTTGTTTTGTAGTGGACTGGGCCACATGAGTTTCATCGACATCGATGGTGACATAGGGGTCAATAAGCTGCTCGTCGGGCTTTCCAAACGTCATGTTGTGACGTTTTTGAAAATCGGTCGGCCTCAGACCCGAAGCCTCGCATATTTTTACTCCAAGAGTACCAGTAAACATTTGCACCGTCTAATAACGAACGCACAAACCGACTTACACGTTTCTGTACCGATCACGAATTCGCTGCACAAAACACCAAACCTTTTGAAAAACTTCCGATCATTACTTTTTCTATTATTTTCTCAGGGAATCAAAGATTTGTTTCTAAACAATTATATTGTGGATCGGATCTCCTTTTCCCACAATGCTCTGCTAATGGCCAAAGTAAATGACAACAGCGCTGCCAGCTTACGACAGTTTTCCAATTGATCTAGAAAATTAAATTAATATTAACTTAACGTTTCATTAATTTAAATTAACTGACGACATGACACTTACTGTTACAGAATTGCGAAAAAGCTGTATACCTTTTTAATTTTTCTTAATTTAATAATTTAATAAAAATTTTCAAAAAAATTATATGGTAACACTACTCATACCAATCGTTACAAAAGTAAACTTTCCAGTGCTATTTTTCTTTTGACAAACAAGTTTGCCAACCACTGTTGTATTCATAGAACTTTTACTTAACCTTACAGGTTTAATAGTGTCGTTTGCCGATATTTTAATAAAATAAAAAGAAATTTTATTTTATAATTTGTGTTGCATTTAATTAATCAACATGAGTGACGGTTGGGACGATTCATGGAATAATGCAAAGCCATTCAATGATAACCAAGGTAATCACGATAAGTACTACAGAAACAGTAATTTTCGAAGAGGGGCCCCGAGGGACAAGCAAAATAGAAATTATGACAGAAAACCTAGGAATTCTAACCCTACAACTACTATACAAGTCCCTACAAACATGGTTGGAAGGATAATAGGTAATATACTATGCAACTTTTACAATACAATAAAATTTTTAATAAACTAAGAATGTTAAGTTTGATTAACATTTTTTACTTATGGTAACATTTCCTAATGTTTTAGGAAGAGGAGGTTCCAAAATAAGTGATCTACAGTTTAATTCAGGGGCAAACATCAAAGTTACAAAAAATACAGAAGGTATGAACACTATGGTTGAAATAACAGGATCTGAAGAAGCTATAAAACGTGCTACAGAAATGATAGAAGATTTAACAAAAGAAAGACCACCTCCTGCTACTTTGACTAGTGAAAGTCATGATAACAGTTGCAAGGAAATGCCACCTATACAAATTGATTGGAAAGCACTAGCAGAAGAAAGTGTAAGTTTCAAAACTCATTGTAACCCTTATTAAAACATTTAATACCATTAATGTACTTGTTAATTATTAAGGAGCGATATCAAAAAGAGCAATTTGATAAGTTGCCTCCAATCAAGAAAAACTTCTACAAAGAAGATCCTGAAGTTACAAATATGAGTAACAAGGAAGTTGAAGCATTTAGGGCAGCTAACAACAATATTGTTGTCTCTAGGATGTACAAACAGGGAGAAAAGGAAAAAATACCAATTCCTAATCCAGTTACCACATTTGAACAAGCTTTTAGAGACTACCCAGAGATATTAGAAGAAATTGCAAAGCAAGGTTTTCAGCACCCATCTCCCATTCAGAGTCAGGCATGGCCTGTGCTTCTGAGTGGAGATGATCTCATTGGAATAGCACAAACAGGAACAGGTGACAAGAAAGCTGAATGATAAATTTTTCATACATTATTGTTAATTTTCATAAAACTTAAATCATTTCAGGTAAAACTTTGGCCTTTTTGCTGCCAGCACTAATTCATATCGAAGGTCAACCTGTGCCTAGAGAAGAAAGGATGGGACCAAGTGTATTAGTAATGGCCCCAACAAGAGAATTAGCTTTACAAATTGATAAAGAAGTCAAGAAATATTACTACAAGGGGATTAAAGCGTAAGTTTAGCAGGTGTTAAATGTGCTGTTAACTAATGCTCCATTTATTTTTAGATTGTGTGTTTATGGAGGAGGCAACAGAAGGGAACAAATAAACACACTAAATACTGGTGTGGATGTAATAATAGCCACCCCAGGACGTTTGAATGATCTCGTAGAAGCAGGTAACTTGTATTTGTTTTGATTGATCAATTGTAACTTTGCTATTAATTTTTCGTTTTCAGGACATATAAGTGTTAAAAGTATTACTTACGTGGTCTTAGATGAGGCAGACAGGATGTTAGACATGGGTTTTGAACCTCAAATACGTAAAGTATTATATGACATAAGACCAGATCGACAGACTGTAATGACAAGTGCCACATGGCCGATAGGGGTACGTCGATTGGCCGATTCTTACATGATTAACCCCGTTCAAGTCTACGTGGGAACCCTGGATTTAGCAGCTTGTCACTCCGTCACCCAGCATATTGTTTTGCTCGACGACACTGAAGAAGCTAAATTTGAAACGGTATTACAAATACATCTATTTTTTAAAAGAAAACTAAATTTTGAAAGTTCTCAACGTCTTAAAGAAACTAGAGTTTCACTTGTTTGGCAAATAATGCTTAAAAACTTTTTAATTGTTAGGTGTTGGACTTTGTAGCGAACATGTCTCCCGAAGAAAAGGCGATAATATTTTGTGGCAAAAAAGCCCGAGCTGATTACTTGGCCTCTGAATTAGCCCTGAGAGGTTTTGAATGCCAAGCAATCCATGGTGATAGGGAACAAGTAGATCGTGAGCAGGCTTTAGCTGACATTACAGATGGGACTGTACAGATCCTTATAGCCACTGATGTGGCGTCTAGAGGACTTGACATAGAAGATATATCGTATGAAGTTCAATTTTATAAGTATTTCTATTTTGTGACTCGTAATTTCCGTTACAGACATGTTATAAATTATGATTTTCCAAGGAATATTGAGGAATATGTTCACCGTGTGGGACGTACGGGAAGAGCGGGACGTACAGGATGCTCTATAAGTTATTTCACTAGAGCTGACTGGGCCAGTGCCAAAGATCTTATACCTATACTTGAAGAAGCCAATCAGGTAAACACTTATGTATTTGCATATTAATTTTTATTTAAGTAATCAGTTCTATTATGTATAATAATTATACATTGTAAGTCAGTTGTAAATAATTATATTCTGTTGGGATGTAGTATGTTCCTGAAGAAATATTTGAAATGAGTAAGCGTTATGAAGCCTGGCGCGAGAGGAAGGATCAAGAAAGAGCTCGCGACGGGGGAGGAAGAAGAGGAGGTGGCCGTGGGGGCGGCAGATTTCATGACGGATGGTAGTCGTAATGTTAAAGAAGTTGGAATATTTCTATTTATTTTTCATATTTACAGTTAGCATTCCTACTGTTATATTTAAAGGAATATTTTTTTTCTTTTTACTGTTTAGCAATTTTTCATTTCATTAAACGATCTTCAATCTGTCAAAGCGTTTTTATCTTCGTCATTAAAGTAATGTTAGAATATCACATTAGATACCTATGTAGCATTTTATTTTATAAAGTATTTGTTAATATTTTAAAAATACATGTTTAAGAGATGCTCCAAATGAAATATTCAGTCTCATTTTCATCTTTTTAACAATATATCAAGCGTTGTCAAAGTACGTGCAGTTCTGTAATAAAATTGAAGGTATTACATAATTTGCAACTTCACAACGTAAATTGATCGTAAGTAATTGTAACTTCATTTGATCTACCATTTGGACTTTAGACTACTAATCCTAAGTATGTTTGTAGCTTTAAATAAAATTAAATACTTGAGATGGAGAGGAGACTCACCTTAAGGGACTGTTCACTTTTTCTTAACTGTTCTAAGACGTATTTCGTGTCGCTTGCTTCAGTTGTATCCGAATCACTGTAAACATGTGGCTTTGGTAATCGACATTTCTTCTTCTATAAATGAAATAAAATAATATACTCTACGTATTTTTCGCATATAAAATAAATTGCTCTGTATATGCCGGAAATAAACGCAAAAATAATTAAAGTACCTTTTTTTCCATTTTACTGGGTCCCCGTCTTCTGCATTCTTGCATACATTTGGACGGAATGCTTCTTACGTCGAATTTGATCTTTTCAACATTGCTTGAAGAGTTACAGCAAGCATTACAAATTTTACAACAGGTCGCCAAAGGAAACGCCAAGAAGAAAATGGTATTTAAAAAGAATTCTGATCTTCTATAAAAGAAAATTTACATACGAAATGAAATCTGATGTTTCTTTTTTCTAAATTTTCTAGCTTTTACTTGCTTATCGCTCGAACTGTGCGCATACCAGTGTAAGGATTAACAGGCCAACCAAGTTCGTCATACTGCACCGGGCAATGTCTAAATTCTTTCTCTTGGTACTGGTCTAAAGGACGTGGTAACTGGACTAGGAGCCCTAAACCGTACATTCCGATTACTGGACAACAGCACAATCCCAATATACCTTTTAGAATTCCTTGAAATCGTTTTTGAAAATATTATTTACAAATTTCCAGTTTTGACAATAGAAGTCTTCTTTTTTATAGTTTTGTTATCTTTCTTACCTAAAGCAACGAGGCACAAAATGGGTCCCAAAAAAGTATACATTAGCAGTACTAAAGAAAATGTCTTATCTTCGGTGTTGTTTAAACAAGGAGTCAAACTTTCATCATCTTCACCTATTACTGCCTTTGAAAGGCTGTTACTACAAGCATTGTAAATGTCCTCCATTCATAAACAAGTTAAAAAAATTAAATGAATTGTCAATCATGACATTGCAAAAAGTCAATTAATAATACATATTGTCGGAATTATTATAAACCATGAAAAGGTAACTAGTACTTTATTTTTAACAATAGATACATTTTAAAATATAAGCATTTTAAGTCTTATTATATTTGAATAATATCACATTCTGAAGAACTGAATATTGGGCCCTTTATAGGTGCTGAAATTTTTAAATGAGCAAAAGTACCTGCGGTGTATCCTTTTGTTAATCTCTCAGGATTTACAACCATACAACCGTTTACTTCCTGAAATAAAAACGACAAAAAAGAACCTTTACATTTGCGTTTCTAATAATTGCGACAATTAAAGAAAATATAAAAACTTTCCTAATAGTCCGCCAAACGTTTTTCTTACCTTTATAAAATATCTTAAAGTAGATGGTAATATAAGTAGGTGAGGAGTGACGTCCATCGTTGCATGTTTTTCTAAAAGTCGATAACTGACCCTAAGTTTTGGGGGGATCAAGGGATAAAAACNAATTAAAAAACGAAAATGAATTTCAAAAGGAAAAGGTGTATTTTGAACTAAATTTCATTATCAATAATGATTCCTTTAAGGAATTTCTGAGAAATAAAAATTCATTTTCGTTTTCTACAAACAAACATATTCTTATATATTATATCAATCACACACGTTTGTTGTAAATACATCAAAGATATGTCGGGAGTAAAAATAAAATTCGAAAAAAAAAAATTACAAAATCGTAGTACAAAGAAGCGCTATAAAAGCTTAAAAGAAACCATTGCCTTGTGTAGAGAAGAAATAATTTGATAATTGTTTTAAGTTAATTTGATAAAAACGAATACATATATCGGTTAAAAAAAAAAAATGTAGTTCTTGCTCCCATTAAAATTACATACGGATATGTACGAAACCTTTACTGCAAAGTTCCATTCCCAAAATTTACTTTAGTTAGTTCCGTGCTAGACAAATTTTTGTTAAAATCCCTCATATAAATCAACATTAATTTACTACTAAGATTAAATGATAACAATTTAGAGGTCAAACACCTTTGGATCCCCACATTTGGAAAAAACTAGTTCTTTTGTAGTACAGTATATCTCAATATACTTGGAAAAACTTTTTCAATCGAATGGCTATAAATAATAAAATATTAATAAAGAGAAACTTACAAACTAGTTAAAAAGCAAGAGAGAGCCATGCCACAGGTGCTGCAAATCAAAATAAATATGTATAAATTAATGCATCTAGAAAATGAAGCACAATTAGTGCTGACATGCAATGTATAATATACATATATGTATACGATGTATACTTATTGTTTAAGAAAAAACTTCGAAACTTGACGGTATTGTCAATATGGTTAGTAATAAGTTTAACTGCACCCCCTAATCATCGCCCCCCTGCAACCAAACCGAATCACCACTGTATCAAAATAAAAAAACAGCAAGTTTCAAAGTTTTACAGAAAATTGTACAAAGTAATACAAGGTTTACTTACGCTATTACAAATGTTAAGACTTATTAATTATTTCAAATGTTTGTCTCTTTTTTTAATCAAATATTAATATTTAGTAAGTAAACCTTGATTTTTGCAACACAATTCTTTTAGTTTGAAAGACGTTCTGAAAAAAAGTTTATTAAAGAGGATCTGGAGTTAACAGAAAACGAAAAGGTAGTTTTTTCCTGTTCAAGTATTTAAATAAATTAAATTATTGACACATAATTCTAAAGATTAAATAACTTTTTTTTAAAAGTACTACGACCTGTAAATATCAAAAAAATAAACAAATAATAACTCTTAAAAATTATTATGTGCATAACTCGTTCCTCTGAAGAAAACAAAATTAAAAAAAGGCTGAAAACAAAAAAAAATAATAAAT